TAAAGTGCATGAAATTAGTTCTTGAGTCGGTTATGGTTAAAACTCATGGAGGACCACATTGACTCAATAATTGAGAAATGATTGTAAAAAATCACATGGACCATGTTTTTTATGGACATCCACTCCCTATAGTATGATAATATTGTCATTACATTTTCAATGAATGATCCAAACAAAAAAATAAGATATTGTTCAAGAAGTGAATATATTTTTCCACTATGGCTAAAAGAATTACCATCAATTTTGAAGAAATAAAGGATTTAAATACCACTTCATCCAACACACTACATTTGTTGAAAGGAAAAAAAGGACTATTAAGAGAACTTATGTTGCTCGAACTATTAAAAATATCAACGGGTGCAAGTTAGATCTTCCATGTGCATTTTTTAAAGAAGCTTATACGAGATACGACGGTCTTTTTGGATAGTCCTGACATGAAAATTGAATCTTGATCCAAACAAAAGAGACAAGATATAATTCAAGAATTCAACATAAATTACAACCAATACAATCTTGAACAAATGAAGGAAATGAACAACTAATATAACTTCAATCAACACACATCACATTTCAAATGAAAACAAAGACTAAAACAACTTGAAATCATAACATTTATAAGAAAACTAATGAATATTGTACTAGTTTATAGGCTAATTTTGATGAAGCATATAAGATGTAACTCTGTTTACTCATTTAGAACACCATTGCCTTGACCTTTCAAATCCATTCTTTCCAAGTTGATAATCTTGATAAGCCTGCATAATCTCACTCTTAGTGTTCATAACAAATGGACCATACTGCACGACAGGCTCGTTAATCGGTTGCCCTCCTATCAGAACAAACCTCAATGGTTTTGAAGATTTGTTCCACACACTTAGGCCTTCACCAGGGCCTAAAACCAAGCAATGGTGAGCTGGTGTAGTAGTTGAATCCGAAGAACCAAACGCCCCTTCTCCTTCAACTATGTAGATGAAGGCATTCCAGGTCTCGGGGATCTGTTGGTGATGGTCAGAACCTGGTTTTAGGGTGAAGTCAAGGTACATTGTAGGCGTTCGTGTGAAAACTTGGGATTTTATGCCCATGGATTCCCCTGCTAAAATAGTAACCGAAACGCCATCTTTTTCCACTTTTGGTATATCTTGGTGTAGCAATTCTTGATACCTTGGCTCAATCCTGCATCATGGACGGATAAAAGGAGGGAAGTTACAAAAACGGGGCAATGAAGGCTCGTGAAGTAGACAACAAGCAGCAAGACAAGGATCATTAGTTGTTGTGTCTATTGCATGGTGTAGCCTCACACATTGAAGGCTGGTTAGTTGAACACCCTTTGTCGACTCGTAGAGTCAAACCATACTTTAATACATATATATTAGATCTTAAACGCCTAAATTTTATGAATTTTGATCAAAGTACATGTAACAGGAATATGTTCTAAAATGAAATAGATTGTTCAAACACTATATTTTTTTAAGCCAAAGTCAAGATTGAATCAATGTAACTTACATTTTGTCCTTGGAAGATAGATTTATCCAAAGTTGCAACCCCTTATGAGTACCTGGTCCAGCAGGCATTTCTGAATGAACTATACCTCTTCCTGCTGTCATCCACTGCATTAAACCAAATGGAAAATCATAAACACACTTAAATTTCATAAATTCGATATCCGGTCGCATCATGAAGTCCACTTTAGGAGGTAACACACTCCTTTTCAAATGTGACTACATTTACAAGCCTTGAACTCGAGACCTCTAATTAAGGACGAAATAATACTTACTATTCTACCACCATGAATTTTGATGGTAAACATTAATTGGTTACATTAGTAAAATGAGTAGCTAACAATCTATCACATGTTATATAACGCTGATACTATTAAAAATCTTTACACTGTCAGTGCACATAACTTAAATACTTAAGAGGTATATATGGTGGTGTTGTTAGCAAACACATTACCTGCACATCACCAGTCCTGATTGTACCCTTGCGACCAGCAAAATCTTGATGAGTAAAAGCTCCCTAAAATTAAACACCACAAAATTACATTAGAATTTTCAATCTCCATAATCCATACACCAACACAGAGTTTAACTTATATACATCACCAATACCTGATAGTATATATCAATTTTTTTTGTCGATGTACAAAAGTTAAACTTTCTACCCAAAAAAAGGAAAATAAAATGAATTTTTACCTGCAACATATAAGTGACGGTCTCAAAACCTCTGTGTGGATGGTCAGGAAATCCAGCAGGTGGTGAAACTGCAAGAAGCCAAAAATAACATAGCTTTCTAATTAGTCAAAAATAAAAATAAAATTCACAAAATAATATACTAAAAGAATAAAATAAAAGAAAAAATTACCATTAAACTCATCTAACATGAGGAATGGATCAAGATTCTGCAATTCAGGCCTGATCAAATTCCAAATTTCATAACAAATATATATAAAAAAAAAACAATCAGTATTCGATTCGTATTGCTGACAAAAGTATGATATTTAATTGGAGAAGAGTAAAAACGTCGTTAGAGATTTCTCGATTATCAAAACATAAAAAATCAAGAAAAAGGAAGGAAGTACCCAAAAATAATTACCTTCCAATGCTTCTTCTAACAATAGCACCATCACCTTCATTTTGAGCTCTAGCCAAAACTTTCTTAACAACCAATCTTGGTCTACTAAAAATAGAGGACATAGACATTTTGATGTTTTTAATGTTTGTTTCAGCTAAATTTATTTTTTGTTTGTTGTGTTTTCTTTTGATTGTGCTAATGTGGCTATTTATAGGCAATTTATTCTTGAGGATTCATATTCATTGAATATTGATGACGAAATATATTACATATTATTTTCGTGTGTTGAATAGAAGTTTCAAGTGGGGCCTACTTAATTTTTTTTTTTGATGATTTCATGCTGATGTTATTATGACGTGGTTTCTTATTAAAAAAATTATTTGGATAAAAAATGAGGAATATACTATCGTATGAATTTGTAGAGTTAATTGACTAAAAAGAAAAATAAGTTAAAAGAATAAATAAGATAAATACTAGAATTATTAGATATTAAAGAATTCAAAATAATATTAAATATGCATGAATTATAGATTGAATAACTAAAATGGAAAATAAGTTAAAAGAATAAATAAGATACTAGAATTATTGGATATTAAAGAGTTCAAAGAATACTAAAACTATCATACTTAGGATTTGAACTTTTGACGTAAAATAATCTTTTGACTCATTTTGTTGTAATACTAAAAGTATCTTTTGATATAAAAAAAGATTCTACCATTTATATGTAATCGAAGCATATATTATGGAGTAGTTTTTTTAATGAGGAATTCAATAATATATACCTAGTTCCTCTAATTTCATGAGTTAACTCTTAAATATTTAAGGATTCAAATTAATACTAAAAATGTCATACTTATGATTTGAAGTTTTGACGTAAAAATCTCATAAAAGGTAGAAGGTAAATTTTAAGTACCATTTATACGTAACAAAATGAAACTTCTTTTGGCAAGAAATTCAATTATATATCTTGCCAACTACCTTTCCTTTGTGATTTCACAAGTTACCAATAAAAATTGTGATTGAATCAATAGAATTTCCTCATTTTAAAAAGTTTTAAATTTAAAGTCAATATATATATATATAAAAGAATTACATTAAAAATTAAATTGTTTTCCTTAAATAACTTTACGTGATATAAATTCAAAAATTAATTAAATAAAATTTTATATAAATATGAAACATTAGGTGGAGGAGGATGTTACTTTTGAATTGAATGTTTATACATAATTATTTAAGAAAGAAACATCTAGCAACTTCAAAAATCAAAAGAGAAACAATGTTTGGTAGTTGTCGGCATGTAAACTTTGTTTATTTTTGCTGCCTTTGATTCGTTGACCGTTGACGTGACCAATATCTATTCAAAAATTATAAAAAAAATAATATTATAAATTTTTATTTTTTTTATATATGATAAAAAAATATACATCGTAAAACGTTAATAAAAGTTTTTATCATTTGTCTCTAAAATAGAAAACCATAACAACTAAAAGAAACGAAAAAAGTAATATTGAATAATATACAATTTATTTATTTTTATTGATGTACAAAAATTAAAATGTTCACTGATCCAAAAAAAGATTCAAAAAAAATTGTATTTGATTTAGTAATAATAAGACAAATCATTTGTTCATAAATACTTTATACTCATCCCGTGTTAGAAGCAAAACTTAATTCATGAACTTAAGAATCACAATTTATGTTTTACATATTATTTTCATTGTATTTGATTTACAAGATATTTTATAACTTTTATTTTATAGATAAAAATTTATTAAAAATTTTAGAACAACTTATGTCCGTGGACAATATTTAACACCATGTCCTTGTTCTAATTTATAATTCTCTTTCAGTTTGCAAATCTTAACTTTAACTAAATTTAAATTTTTAATCGATAGAAAATACTAGTCATAGAAGGATAAAAATATCTTTACCCATACATATAGATGTATAATGAAGATAAGTGTTAAAAGAGATTTTTTGATTGAAATAATTCATTATTTAATATTTTATTGTAAAAAAAGTCACTAAAAATAAGTACGAAAATAACTTTAATAAAAACAATTTGAAGAAAATTTTCATTATTTGTTAACCTTCATGCCCTATCAAACAATACAAAAAGACTATGTTTTCTTTTAATTTTTCATTTTTTTACACATCTAATATAAACATCCTTTAAATAGCGTATAGACATTATTTCATTCTTCAACAAATAAACACTATCAACTAACAAATAAACGTATAAAACGTTACCAGTAATAACAAATTCAAAACTCATTACTCTCATCTCGACTTTAATGTAAGTTAAATAAATTTAAGATCAGACTCTAAAACCGTTACAATTCCAAAAAAAAACTAAAAAATGATAAAATATCCACAAAATACTTATGGTGGGTCCCAACTTAAAAACTTTTAATTACTTATGTCCCACTAGCCTTTGACTTAAAAAAATCTCAAATAATTGAATCAACAATCCCAAAAAAATCCCAAAAAATTCTCTAAACCAAATATTTCAATGGCGAAAAAAGCAGTGTTAATTGGAATCAATTATCCAGGAACAAAAGCAGAACTTAGAGGTTGTATTAACGATGTTAATCGAATGTACAATTGTTTACTTAATCGTTTCGGATTTGCTGAGGAAGACATTACTGTTCTTATAGATACTGATGATTCTTACACACAACCAACAGGACGGAATATACGTAAAGCTTTATCGGATCTTGTTGGATCTGCTGAATCAGGGGATTGTTTGTTTGTGCATTATAGTGGACATGGGACTAGGTTACCTGCTGAAACGGGTGAAGAAGATGATACTGGTTTTGACGAGTGTATTGTTCCTTGTGATATGAATCTTATTACAGGTAATTCTACATTTTTTTTATTTAAAGCACTTTTTTTTAAGGATTTGGAGTAGGGGAAATGGGGCGGGGATTATGAAGTGGGGAATTGGAAATTCAGGTAGCTGGTGAGCTACTGAGATTGTACTTGATCTAAATGATGGGTTTGTTCCAAGATTGTTTTTTTTTTTCTTTGTGTTTGTTGAATTTGTTGGGGAGTTAGTTGGTTTGATCTAAATGATGGGTTTGTTCCAAAAATTGTTTTTTTTTTGTGTGGTATGCATTTTAATGCAGCTATTTGAGCATTTCTTTGATCAAAATTAGGAATTGAGTAGTCAGGTAGCTAATCAACTGAGCTAGTAAGAGTGTACTTGATCTAAATCATGAGTTTGTTCCCAAAAAAATGTTGTTTTTTTTTGTGTGTGTGTTGAATTTATTGGGGGTTAAGTTGTATTGCTTTGATCTAAATCATGGGTTTGTTCCAAAATTTGGTTTTTTGTGTTGTGGGTTGAATTTTATAGGTAGTTACTTGTATTGCTTTGATCTAAATCATGGATTTGCTCCAAGATTTGCTTTTTTGGTGTTCTGTGTTGAGTACTACTTGTATGCTTTGGTCTATAGATCATGGGTGTCTTCCAAAATTTGTTTTTTTTTTTTGTGTTGTGTCATGTGTGTGTGATATGAGTTTTATTGCAGGTACTTCTATTGCTTTGATCTAAATTATGGATTTGCTCCAAATTTTGCTTTTTGTTTGTTTTGGTTTGGGGGTTGGGGGGTAGAGTTGATGTGGTAAGGGATCTAGGAGATTGAGATCTTGAAATGGTTTTCTTAAAAAATGATCTTGAAAGGTTGAGTTGATCTGTTTTGATGATAATTCAGGTGGATCGAAGATATAAGGAGATTTGTAAAACGAGGAAATGGGATTTTAGAAATGAGAATTTGGGTTTCTAGAGTAATTCAAATAGTTGAATGGGGGACGAGGAACAGTTGGAAAAAAAGAGGGAGTATAGTTTACAGCATTGTGATAACGAATCTCATTTACAGGAACTTAACTATTTCCTTGAGCTTAATCATGGGTTGTTCCAAAATTTGTTTTTTTTCTTCGTGTGTGTGATTTGTAGATTGGTATGAGATTGAGATCATCATATAGAATATTGTGTAAAAAAGGATCTTGAAAGTGCTTAGTTGATCTGTTTTGATGATTATTGAGACGGATCCCGAGTTTTAGGGAGATTTGTGAAATGGGGAACCAGGATTTAGAAATGAGAATTTGGAACCAGAGCTATTAAAATTGTTGAATGGGAGATCAGAAAAAGTTGGCAAAAAAGAGGAGAATAGTCATGATCCCACAAGTGGGGTCTTGAAAGGGTAGGATGTACGCAAACCTTACCCTTGATTTCCGACACTCGGCTATAGAATTTATTACCTCTTGGTTTTATAATATTGGAAAAGTAACAGGCAATTTAATATTGAACTGTTGGACGTGTTGTTTCATCCTTGATCAGATGATGATTTTAGAGAGCTCGTTGACAAAGTTCCTGAAGGTTGCCGGATCACAATTGTATCTGACTCATGCCACAGTGGAGGCCTCATTGACAAAGCTAAAGAGCAGATAGGGGAGAGCCACAAGCAAGGTGATGACGATGAAGGCCATGGATCTGGTTTTGGATTCAAGAATTTCTTACGTCGAAATGTTGAAGATGCATTTGAATCCCGGGGTATCCACATTCCACGTCGCCACCATCGCCGTGAGGAAGAAGAGGAGAACTTTGCTGAGAGTAGTGTGATTGAGACGGAAGACGGTGATCAAGTTCATGTGAAGAGCAAGTCCTTACCTCTTTCCACTCTCATCGAGATACTTAAGCAGAAAACCGGTAAGGATGACATTGATGTTGGGAAACTTAGGCCAACACTCTTTGACGTCTTTGGTGAAGATGCAAGTCCTAAGGTGAAGAAGTTCATGAAGGTCATTTTTAACAAGCTACAAAAGAATAACGAGCAGGGTGGAGGTGGTGGGTTCATGGGTATGGTTGGTAACTTGGCTCAAGAGTTTCTGAAACAGAAACTTGATGAAAATGATGAGAGCTATGCGAAACCGGCCATGGAAACACACGTTGAAGGTAAGCAGGAAGTTTATGCCGGTTCAGGTAATAGAGGTCTTCCAGACAGTGGCATTCTCGTCAGTGGGTGCCAAACAGACCAAACATCTGCAGATGCCACCCCTGCAGGCGGAGATTCTTATGGTGCTCTAAGCAACGCAATTCAGGAAATCCTAGCTGAATCAGATGGTCCAGTCACCAATGAGGAACTTGTTAGCAAGGCTAGGAAAAAGATGCAGAAACAAGGCTTCACACAACGTCCAGGCCTCTACTGCGATGATCATCACGTTGATGCTCCTTTTGTTTGTTGATTCTGCTGTGCTATGCCTTCTCGAGTAGCTGTTGAAAATACGACTGTGAAGTTAACGAGGTGTTATATAACTACATCCTTTTGTGTATTTGTGTGATTGTTTGTGCTTATGTTGGAGTAGCTCTTCTACTCTGGTGTTGCAGAAGAACCATTCTCCATCATGTGAATGTGTATTTGGCTCTGTTTTTTTTTTCCTTTTAAATTTGGTCAGAGAATAAGGTATTAAAGAACCACAGTTTTCGGTATTGTTTTGGATATTTGAAAGTTTAATCTGGAGAACTTGTCTTGTATACTGAATATACTGAATGTGTTATAATTTAATGCAACTGAATGTATAAATTTCTTATCATGTGCCATCATAAGAATTGACCTTTGTCTTGTGAAACTAGGGAACAGAACGAAAGGAGGAGCTGAATTTCAAAATTTTGGTTTACATAAGAAAATATTCACCTGAATTGCACTTTCATATTACATCTTGGATATATATAGTAATCAAGTACAACAAATCCTTGCACGCATAACACAATATCGCAATGCATGTAAACAATATTACTCGCGCTAGAACTCAGATATGGTTATTTAAATTTCAAAGAGATTTCACTCATTCGATAACAGTCATTCTTCAAATTTTACTTGTACAAGTTTCAAAGATATATATCAATAACTCCAGTTGTGTCCATGACTCCATTCCAAAGCTTTATCCACTTGGAAAAGTAGAAGTACCAAACTAAAGCAACAAAATTAGCTAAGCCGCGATCTACTTATGTTCCTTCTTTGGTTCAATATCACTTGGATTTGGGACTGGTTGAATTCTTTGGTAAGGTTTCCTTGTCAATGTTTCACCCTTCAGAGCTGCAACATATCTGTCATTTGTGTTCTCCTTTCTCTGCAGTTCGCCAAGGTACTCAGCCAACCTCTCTTTATTAACTTTACCCATCATCTGTTACAAAAATCAAAACAATGTATGTTTAGGAATTCAACAATCGTAAGTCAAAGTACTAAGCTATAAAAGAAAGCCAATGAAACCAGAAGAAACCACTGTGAGTCCATTTTTTTTATCTACTGTAAAGCTTTATCTACTTAGCTCTTCATAAAAAAAAGCAAAGTCGATGTTCTTTCAAACAGCAAATGACTGAACAAGATAGAGAAGTGAACATTATAGCTATTTGTAGTTCCCATAGACAGCAGGTGGCCGATTTCATCAAAGGTGTAAACCAAAGTTACGTGGAAGTGCTCACAACTCTGTTTTAGTTTTTAACAAAGACAAGACATAAATGGGTATATTCAAATGCTGTGTTCATCTTCACCTACAATATATCATTCAAAACCAAACTAGAAAAAGAGAAGGGCCATTTGTAATATGAAAGAAAAGGGTCTGAAATTAAGCTTTATTCTCACTAAAATAGTCCTGCTCGGCAGTCAAGCCACTTCACTCAATAGAGGTTCTTTGGGGACTTAAAGAACTTAGTTGTCCTTCCTTTCCAATTTACAAGTTCCAAAAATACAAGCTGGAATTGTTATCCTTATCTATCTATTTGCCTTCTCAACAATTCTCTGCTCTTGCCAACATTCCGATGCTCCATTTACTCACCCTGGCATGGTCCAAGCACCCAAAGGCAAGCCAAGGTAGATAGTGATGGATTCTTCCACCTTACGGCCCAAAATACTGGTAGAATCTGTACGTTAAAAGGTAATAACATTCGAGTCGTTTACAGCTTAACATGCACAAGTCAATATATTTAACCCATGCTCTCAAGTAGCTTTAGCAAGAAAGGCCAGCTAACATGGTCATATGCCTTGAAGTCTAATTTGCACATTGCCCCAGCATCAGTAAACTTTATCTTGGACTCCAACTCTCTAAGCTCATATTAGCTACTAGCACTCCCACAAAGAAAAAGGATTTTGTGATTTAGATACCAATTTGTCTATTATTGCCCTCAACCTTCCATTGAGGATTTTGGCAATAATCTTGTAACTATTGCCAAATAGAATAGAGGTCAAAAGACTCTAATCAACACCCTTTCCTCTTCAGGGATTATAGCAATAAAAATCACATTTAGGCTTCTATCTAGTTTCTCCACCTTAAGAAAATACTTGAAGCTGGTCTTTGAATCTTCCTTAATGATTGGTCAAGAAAAAAATGATAGGTCAACATATTCAACAAAAAGCCCTTGGTGAAACTATTGAATTCCAGAGACTTCGTTTCGTACACTGCTTAGATAGCAAGCCATACATTTTCTCAGTGAAAGGTCTTTCAACTCAGTCCTCTTCTGCTCCACTTATAATGTATTCCCCAGTTCCTCAACATACCATTCATGCCTTCACTTCTTTGTCTCTCTGAACAAATTCTTGTAGAATTTCAGGATCAACATTTTAATATTTGTTTTGACTACAACTTAGAAAATACACCTGACAATCTAATATCTTAAACTCCCTGATCTGTCATATGGTGTCTCATAAAACATACAGAGGAACCTATCAATAAATAAATAAATATAGAGGAGGTGTTCCAACCAAATTCTCAGAAGTAATTCAATTCCTTTACACTCTTCGTTCTCTATCTACCAAGACTAGCTATCGATTGCTATTTTCTATAAGTTAAATATCAATCACTTTATCTACACTAAAAAATAAAGCTCCAAACATCATTTTCTTTTTAAAGGTAACAAGTACATCAAACAACAAGAAACATTATCAAATGATACTGCCAGGTTACCTTTCATTTTCATAGATCAAAAAGCACAATCATCACAGCAGAATGTACAATAGACATGAGGTGCATACTGATCTCGCCATATGAAAGTTTGCTCCAGATATACCATTACTATTAACAGAGCATCTTTCAAAGGCCTTTGCTTAGCTAACTGTTATGAAAGATGTTCTGGTAATAACAGTCAGCTAGGCAAAGGCGAAAGGGAGTACAATACAGAATAAGAACCAACAACACAAATCAATATGCGTACAATCATAACAGCAGAAGCTACAACACATATGAATCAATAAGCATCTGGTAAAAACAATTCTACTAGGTGAGGGGACTCTAAAACACATTAGAAAATGATAACAACAAGGCAATTCTTGGTATAATCATCACAGCAGAATGTACAACACATGTGAAACAGATACACTCATCCTACCAGATTGAAGATGCTCCTGCAATAACACTCAGCTAAGTAGCAGCCAAAGGAAGTCAAAGCAAAGAATGATTTTTCTTTCCTTCGAGGCTCCAGGGTAAAGATACATTTTTTACGAAAAATTGTTAAAAAAAATTCAGTTTATGTTAGCAAAAACCATGTTCCCTTCTTTTTCTGATATTTTTATAATGGATTAGTTTAATGAATAACAACGAATCAACTGATTGATGGTCTATCTCTTTTAGACTATAGTTAATGGATATTCTTAAATCATAATTGTAATTATATAGACTATGATTCCATACCAGAAATTTTTTAAACAATACACAATAAGAACCAATAATACCAAGTCAATTTACGTATAATCATAACTGTAGAAGCTACATCACATACGAATCAGTTATTCATCTGGTAATAACAATACTACTAGAAAAGAAGACTCTAATACACATTAGGAAATATTAATGACAGCAGAATTTCCATCCAATCATTAAACCACAATATACAACACATATAAAGCAGATACTCATCCGTCCATAACAGTTAGCTAGGCAAAAACAAAGGCCAAACGGAGTACAACACACAATAAGCCAAGTAAATTTACATACAACCAAAACTGCAGAAGCTACAACACTTATGAATCAGATACTCATCTGGTAATAACAATACTACTTGGTGAAGGGACTCTATGTTAATATCAAAGCAATTTCACGTAGCAGAAGCTACAACACTTATGAATCAGATACTTATTTGGCAATTACAATACTATTAGGCGATTGATAATCCTAACCAATTTCCCGTATAAAACAGCAGAAGGTACAACATACATGAGCACAAACTGATCTAGTTTTAGCAATATGAGTATTCGAAGGGGAAGTGAACATACTAGGGTTTCGGGGCGAGCGTTCTTCCGGAGTTTGGCTTCAAGTTCAGGACTGCGAGTATTGGTGGCTGACATAACGCAGAAACCAATAATCCCCGGAATGACGCCGCAAACGGTGGCGAATCCGATGAAGAACGGCTTCGATTCCTTCGTTCTCCTCACTAACCACCGCCATGTTCCACTCTTCTCCCACAGAATCGACATCGACTTTTCTGATGATTCTCTCAACACTTTTCTTCTGCTATTTTCTAGAGTAGAACAGTGCAAGGGAGAAATAAAAATGACAAAAATGGCCCCTTATATTTGCGGAACATTCAAAATAGTCCTTAAGTATGAATTGATTGACAAAAGTTAAGATCCAAGTATATTTAGTAATTTATATTTTATATTTATAAATAAATTTGAAGGAAATAATGCAAAAAGAAAGATTTTTGTAATTTTAAACATCAAGAAATCTTTAAAAAAACAATAAAAAGAACAAACTATATAGAGTAAAAAATATCAAAAATTGCACTTTAAAAAAGGTATATAATTTTGATTTCGATCTATCTTAAGTGGACTAGAATTGATATCTTAATACCGATTCTTTGGTCCAAAGCGGACAGCTCAGGAGTGAAATGATTGTGTGTATTAGTTGAACCACGAACCAACTACCCATAGAAGAAAATTATGTTCTAAAAAGGATGGTTTTTTTTTAATAAAAAGAGAATTCTTTGAACTAGTTTGCCTACAATTTTACACTCATTTGTTAGTACATTTCATTGTTAGTGAATCTCCTATATGGCTTTATACCAAAGGAAACAGAGAAGAATCTGTCCAAACTTTGAAAAATATTGCATCTCCAGCAACAAGAAGCAGTAAATTTAACCTTGAGCTTTTTCGGATCGTTCATCGAATTAGAAAATCAAGAACTACTCAACAACAACAACAACATGGTTGATGTGTATTGAGCTATCAAGATGTTAATGGAGAGAAATTGGTCAAAAGTATAAAGCTGCATAAAAACAAGAAATCAGTGACAGACCAACTGATATATATTTGTCTCCAATCATACATAAAAAGAGTTTATCAATGAAAACAAACATAGAAAATAGTAGTAGTGTTACAATAAAAGAGAAATGGGCTAGACTTCAGTATGAGCATGGCTGCAACAATTAGCTATTAAAACCTCACTAATCTGACTATTCTTTGACGAGGTGTATACGATTACATCCTTCAATCTCTTCGATCTCTTCCTTAATTCTCACAGCTGAATCCTCCAGAGATTCTTTCCAGGACCCAATCAATTTAATCTGTTTCAATGATGGATTATCAGCAAAGCTAAGTGGGATCTCCTCTAGGTCACCACACTTTTTTATAACAAGTGTTTCAAGCAAGGGAAATGATTCCTCCGAGGCATCCCACCTTGAGATACCTAACTGCACCAATTTCAACAACTTAAGTTTATGAAACCTGATATCTCCAAGGCACCACTCTTCTGATTGAGGAAAACACACGTCCTGTAATTGGAGATACTCCAGGCTTGGTAGTTCCGCAATGAAGGAAATAGCACTTTCAATATGAATTCCTTTAAGTACCAGCTTGTTTAAATTTGAAGGCACCTGTAACCCGGATAGAATGCGGGGATGCACAAAGGAAAGTTGAAGTTCTTGAAGCTGGGTAAGATTCTCCAATTTGGGACAAAAAGGCTCTGCAGAATCTTCATCATCCTCAAGTGTGATTTGAAGTTGTTGAAGATTAGGACACCTCTTTGATAACACATCCAGACTATCAATCGGAAATCCAACAATTTTCTTTAATATCCTCAAATTTTCTAATTTAGAGGATCCTTCAAAGAGCCCCTGCTTATCAAAAACTGCCCAACCAAAATGAGCATGCCTTAATTTTTCCATTTCCAAAAAAGACACTGGTAACCGTACACCATAAGGAAAATTCTTCACAATTAAAGTTTCTATATGGGGCAGATGTGTTCCTGGATCAAAATAGAATTTATCTGCCCAAACTGCGAGGTACTTCAGCTGATTTAGTGGTTTGAATGTAGCAAACGACAAAAACTCCACAGTATAAGAAATCAAATCCAAGACTTTAAGAAGTCGCAATTCAGTAATCTGACAGAAGGGAATCACATCAATAGATTCTCCACCATTAGCCGTTATCAGAGACCTCAAGTGTTGGTGGAAAGGCTTCTGTGTTTTGGAAACCAGAGATGCAAACTTGGAAAGCTCTTCACTGAAACTGAAGCTCACTCGACTTCCCTTCCAATCCAACGGTTGAAACTGGATATATTGACCCTTCACTGCAAGCATAAACTTTTCTTCTCTACTCTTCTTCAAGCAAAAGTGATGCACAACATCATGAACCTGGCAGCATTTGACTTTACCATTATAACCTTTCTTTGAAACAATTACCACGTTACTGCTAATGAGATCCATCAAGTAACCTTCAGCTTCCTCTTCCATTAATCTCCCAGATTCAGTGTTCTCCACGAATCCTTCAGCAATCCATAAACTTATCAATTTAGATGCTGGAATTCTTGCGTCCTCCGAAAACATCCCCATATAAAGAAGACAAGGCTTTAAACAATCGGGTAAGTTATCAAAACTCAACTGCATAGTCGCCAGACTATATTCTTCGAACTCACTGTCAAGATAGTCAAATAAAGCATCTTTCACCTCATTCCACCAAGATTCTTCCATTTTCCTTTTTTTGATTATTCCAGCTACCAAGACAACCACTAGGGGGAGTCCTTTGCATTTTTCTGCAACTGCTTGACTCACATATTGTAGTTCAGGCGGGCAATCTTCCTTTTGAAACACTTTTTTCTGCAACAATTGGCAACTCTCTTCTGTTGTGAGGAATGGAAGAGAATAAGGATCAGTATGGTACTTGACTTGCTTACCCACTTCTTCAAGTCGAGTTGTTACGACTATTCTGCTTCTCATTCCAACATCTGGAAAAGAAAGCCTTAAGTCATCCCATGCCATACAATCCCACATATCATCCAATACAATGAGATATCTCTTTCCCATTAATTTTCTCCTCAACATGTCGGCAAGAACGTCAACCGTATCTTCCTTGTGTTTGGAACCTGTAACTTGACTAAAAATATCTTGTAATAGCTCTCTCCGATTATATGTTTGAGAAATGATGCACCATGCTCGAACATCAAAGCGAGAAACAATGATGTCATTATTGTACAGCTTTCTAGCAATTGTCGTTTTCCCTTGTCCCCCCATGCCTACAATTGGGACGACGTCTAGCTCATTTGTACCTCTAATCAGATAATCAATTAGTTCTTCTGCTTTATTCTCAAAACCGACTACCTCCTCATCAGTCACAGGATTGCTATGTCGAGCTGGCAGATGTTTAAATGGAGCAGCCACGTAGTGAGGATTAAAAGGAATGTCCGCTGACCACATCTCAGTCACCTCTGCATTAATTTGCTTGATCTCTTTTAAAATTGTAGGAAGTGAGCAAAAAATATGCAAAAAAGCATTATTCTGAGCAAGAATAGAGTCAATGGCAACCTCAGCCTCATATGCCAAATTGATGGTACGTCTCTGAAGATCTTTAGGAATTTTATGTTCGTGGTGCACGATATCTCTGAAAATGGATGATAGCTCCTTCTCTAAAATGGATGTAAGAGATGATAACTCTTTCTCCAAATTCCCTAAAAGAGGTTTCATCAAGAAATCTAAACCAGACTTAGATTTCGACATCTCATTCAGTTTCTTTAAAAGAGAATCCAGAAAGCTCAATCCACCAAAGGTGGGGAATTGAGATGGAGTAAATTTTAAGGATTTGTAGTACGTCTCAACTTGTGCCTTCAGATCTTTAGTCTTCTCCAATATCTGTATCGAGCAAAGACTTATTTTGCTAGTGTCATCTTTGTTTATAGATCTAGGAACAAGCTTTTGAATTACATATAGAACATCACCCGCTATAGCTCCAACCTTTAACAAGACCTCATTCAACCAGTTACCATTAATAACGTGATTTGACACATCAGCATCAAGGAAAACCAACAAGAATTCTATTGCCACATCAATATTTTGAGCAGAGATATTATTAGGAAAGTTCTCGAGTTTTTTGTTTCTGAGATACATCAACAGATTGCAGAGATGATGTGAAAATTCTTTTGGTAATTTCTTGTCCTTGAAAGGTTTTGATTGAGTAAACTTTGAAGCCTTTAGTTCACCATGAAAAATCTTCTTCATTTCCAGCTCCACAAACACAATCAATGATAATAGATAAGGAGGTTTATTAAAGATATCATTTTCATCATTAACTTCAACATCAGCAACATAGTCTAATACGGCCAAACAAAATTGTCCCACATTGTTAGCCATAAACTGAATTTGAGTCTCCAAACATTCCAGCTTCTCATAGTTGACATAACCATTTATCTCTGTGGCATATATGTATCTCAAAAATCTCATTTTCTTTTGAACAATTTTCAGTTTCTTTATAGATAGATGTATTGCAAGTTTTTCTTTGGGATGACAGGACCTACCCTTTTTCAGGAACATCATTAGTACATCATTTAGAATTTTTTCCAGACAATCCATATATTTCGACAGATCAAAATCATTCAACTCATAATTGTAACTTAAACTGGAGTTACCTTCAAAGAATTCCAACAAATGTGATTCTAGCCTTTCCAGATTAAGGTTAGTTTTACATTCATCGGGAATCCCATCAAATACCCGGTGAAGCATTTCCACAGTCCATTTGGCATTCTTTGTGAGTTTGACTAAACAATCAGGTAAAAGAACATGATACTTTATAAAGGTTCTAAAAACTCTTAGCACAATATCAAGATCCCCAATATGCCAAATCTTGAAGCTATCCAGGTTACCTTCAATTTTGATCCTTCTTAGGTGATCTAACATTTCCTCAATTTCATTTTCATTCATTTTCTGTAGAAAAATTCCTGCAAGTTCACCAACTCATGGAATTAGGTTCATGTCTTTCAATATCTAGTGTTTGAAGCTATGTTAATGCTTGTGAAAAGTTATACATCTTATATATGTACCATTTTCATAATGTCACTTAACTAATTATTATCTCAGAAAATCGACTTTCTTACATTTTCAATTTTATGAGATACTAACTAATAGTTGAGTCAGCCATTTGAGAAATCAACTCTCTAATTTGTATGTATGGGCAAAAAGTAATTCATGAAGAAGATGACTTACAGTTAGTTAACAAGTATCTTCAATTTCTCAGATTTGGATTCCAACAAAGATATATTTCCAAGTTTACGTAATACGTGAAATAAGAAAAAAGTTTATTCAAATAAAATGGATGAAGGTTTGAAGGAAGAAGGAAAAGTTTCTTCTCTCTCTCTAATAATTTTTATACCTAACAAGAGAGGAATTGTAGTAGCAAGTTGCTTTAGGTGGTAGCTGTAAAGTGACTCAATAATACACCAATATTATTTGTCTTTTTCTTTAGGGGTTGTTTGGTTGGAACAAGTTGTTTCGAGAGTTATTATCCCGGAATAAGTTACTCCATTATGTATATGGGATCATAATTTATATATTCTATCACTATGGTATAAATGATAATATGCCCCCAACCAAACGCGAGATAAAATAATCATGTATTTTATCTCAAAATTATTATATTTCATACTTCACACCAGATGACTCTTTCGGAAAATCCCCCAAAAATTTATGTGGTTTGTTAGTTTCATACTTAAGCTATGCACTTCTATGATACTTGCTTGGCATATAATTAAGGGATTTTATGGTTGGGTATTGGGTCGGACATGAAGTTATATTTTTTCTCATAAATATGAAAATACACAAGTTGTGAAAACTATGAAAATCAATTCTTATGCAATCTATCGAATGAGTAAATCATCGTTCGTAAACAAGATATCATAATATCCTAAAGCATCATATCGATGAATTATATATCTTTATGCTTCTTTTAACTTTCAAATGTACATAAACTTATAAAGATCCACTAGTCAACAACAGTAGTAACTAGTAATTCTTTCACATGATACGACGGACAATCTATTCACATCAAACATGAATTTATTTTTGTAAAATTGAAAATAATGATTTGTTTTTTACAAAATAGAAACTTATGAATATGTTTTTATATTTTTTTAAAAGAACACAATTCAATAAAGGATAAATGATATGTCATAAATCAAATATGGATAAAAAAGGAGTGGTGATAATTCTTCCAGATATCTTGTGAATGAAGTCTATTCTCAGAACAGGCCCAATCATAATACAAAAAAAATGATATCTTTGGTTCTTAAGGGTCAAATGCCGCCCTTATTTATTCATTTCATGTCGTACTATTATATATTTTGTTTTCCACCCAATGTCCGGTACTCACCTTGGAGCCCGATCCAATTTGAATACGCGACATAATAAAGTCCCACATTGGGGTGAAACGCTCCCTAACAAAGACGACTTTGTATTTAGAGGGACTCGAATGCCATACTATATTACTATATCTTAAGTTCATATGTTGCAGAGTCCAAACGATCGATGAATGGCAAGAACAAATTTATTAGCTTCATTCTGTATGAATTTCAACTTCTAAAAGAGGCACCTGAACACATAATAAAGAGATCCTTCAACATTGCACCTACAGCAACAAGAAGCAGTTTAACCTTAAAATTTTTCGGATGTTCATCGAATTAGAAAATCAAGAAGTACTCAACAACAATATGGTTGATCTAATGTAAGTGGAGAGAAATTGGTCAAAATTATAAAGCTGCATAAAAGCACGAAATTAGTGAAAGACGATCTGATGTATATTTTTCTCCAATCATATCATACATTAAAAAAGTTGATCAATCAAAACAAACATAGCAAACACTACTAGTGTTACAATATAACAGAATGAGCTAGCAACAAAATAGACTTCAGTATTCTTTGACGAGGTCTATACGGTCACATCCTTCAATCTCTTCGACTTCTTTTTTAATTCTCACAGCTGAAGCCTGCAGAGATTTGTTGTAGCAGAAAATCAACTTAATCTGTTTCAATGATGGAATATCGGCAAAGCTAAGGGGGATCTCCTCTAGGTCACTACACTTTTTTATAACAAGTGTTTCAAGCAGGGGAAATGATTCCTCCGAGGCATCCCACCTTGAGATACATAAATCCACCAGTTTCAATACCTTAAGGTTATGGAACGTGATATCTCCAAGGCACCACTCTCTGACCTGAGGAAAAATTGGTTCCCCTTCTGTCGAATACCATTCCTCTTCTAATTGGAGATACTCCAGGCTTGGTAGTCCCGCAATAAAGGGAACAGCCGTTTCCATATACATCCCATTTAGAAGCAACTTGTTTAAATTTGAAGGCAACTGTAACCCAGATAGAATGTGGGGATGCAGAAAGGAAAGTTGAAGTTTTTGAAGGTGGGTAAGATTCTCCAATTTGGGACAAAAAGGCTCTGCAGATTCTTCATCATTCTCAAATGTGATGTCAAGTTGTTGAAGATTAGGACACCTCCTTAATAACACATCCACCATATCAACTTCCTCAATTGGAAATCTAACATTCTTTAATATCCTCAAATTTTCCAATTTAGAGGATCCTTCAAAAATCCCCTGCTCATCAAATTTAGCAATATCAATCTCAACATGCCTTAATTTTTCCATTTCCCAAAAAGACACTTGTAACACTTGTATATTTGACCTATTATTCTTCACAATCAAAGTTTCAAGATGGGGCAGATGTGATTCTGGATGAAAATATAATTTCTCTGCCCAAACTGCGAGGTACTTCAGCTGATTTAGTGGTTTGAATGTAGCTAACGACAAAAAATCCACACTAAAAGAACTCAACTCCAAGACCTTAAGAAGTCGCAATTCACTAATCTGACTGATGGGAATCACATCCATAAAATTTCCTTGATTGGTCGTTATTAGTGACCTCAAGTGTTGGTGGAAAGGCTTCAATGTTATGGAGACCAGAGATGATAACTTGGAATGCTCTTTACTGAAACTGAAGCTCAATCGACTTCCCTTCCAATCGTAAGGTTGAAGCTGGCTGGCATGCCCCTTCACTGCCACCATAAAATTTTCTGCTCTACTCTTCTTCAAGCAAAAGTGATGCACAATATCATGAACCTGACAATATTTGACTTTACCATTATAACTTCTCTTTGATAGCATTACCACGTTACTGCTAATAAGATCCATCAAGTAACCTTCAGCTTCCTCTTCCATTAATCTCCCAGATTCAGTGTTCTCCACGAATCCTTCCGCAATCCATAAGCTTATCAATTTAGACACTGGAATTCTTGCGTCCTCCAGAAACATCCCCATATAAAGAAGACAAGGCTTTAAACAATCAGCTAGGTTATCAAAACTCAACTGCATAGTCGCCGCACTATATTCTTCAGATCCACGATCAACATAGTCAAATAAAGCATCTTTCACCTCATTCCACCAAGATTCTTCTATTTTCCTTTTTTTGATTATTCCAGCTACCAAGATAACCACTAGGGGCAGTCCCTTGCATTTTTCTGCTACTGCTCGACTCACGTCTTGTAGTTCAGGTGGGCAATCTTCCTTTTGAAACACTTTTTTCTGCAACAATTTGCAACTCTCTTCTGTTGTGAGGAATGGAAGAGAATAAGGATCAGTATGATACTTGATTTGCTTACCCACTTCTTCAAGTCGAGTTGTTACGACTATTCTGCTTCTATTTCCAACATCTGGAAAAGAAAGCCTTAAGTCATCCCATGCCATACAATCCCACATATCATCCAATACAATGAGATATCTCTTTCCCATTAATTTTCTCCTCAACATGTCGGCAAGAACATCATCCGTATCTCCCTTGTGTTTGGAACCTGTAACTTGACTAAAAATATCTTGTAATAGCTCTCTCCGATTATATGTTTGAGAAATGATGCACCATGCTCGAACATCAAAGCGAGAAACAATGATGTTATTATTGTACAACTTTCTAGCAACTGTCGTTTTCCCTTGTCCTCCCATGCCTACAATTGGGACGACATCTATCTCATTTGTCCCTCGAGTCAGATACTGAATGAGCTTTTCTGTTGTTATCTCAAAACCCACTATCTCCTCATCAGTCACAGAATTGTTACGTCGAGTTGGCAGATGTTTAAATGGATAAACCACATCGTGAGGATTAAGAGGAATGTCCGCCGACCACATCTCAATCACCTCCGCGTTAATATGCTTGATCTCTTTTAAGATTGTAGGAAGTGAGCAAAAAATATGCAAAAAAACATTATACTGAGCAAGAATAGAGTCAATGGCAACCTCAGCTTCATATGCCAAACTGAGGGTACATCTCTGAAGATCTTTAAGAATTTTATGTTCATGGTGAACCTTTATGACATCTCTGAAAATGGATGATAAAGATGACAACTCCTTCTCTAAAATGGATATAAGAGTTGATAGCTCTTTCTCCAAATTCCCTAAAAGAGGTTTCATCAGGAAATCTAAACCAGACTTAGATTTCGACATCTCATTCAGTTTCCTTAAAAGAGAATCCAGAAAGCTCAATCCACCAAAGGTGGGGAACTGAGATGGACTAAATTTTAAGGATTTGTAGTACATCTCAACTTGTGCCTTCAGATCTTTAGTCTTCTCCAATATCTGTATTGAGCAAAGACTTATTTTGCTAGTGTCATCTTTGTTTATAGATCTAGGAAGAAGCTTTTTCATTACATATAGAACATCACCCGCTATAGCTCCAACCTTTAACAAGATCTCATTCAACCAGTTACCATTAATAACATGATTTGACACATCAGCATCAAGGAAAACCAACAAGAATTCTATTGCCACATCAATATTTTGAACATAGATATTATTAGGAAAGTTCTCGAGCTTTTTGTTTCTGAGATGCATCAACAGATTGTGGAGATGATATGAAAATACTTTTGGTAATTTCTTGTCCTTGAAAGGTTTTGATTGAGTAAACTTTGAAGCCTTTAGTTCACCAAGAAAAATCTTCTTCATTTCCAACTCCACAAGCACAATCAATGATAATAGATAAGGTGGTTTATTAAAGATATCATTTTCATCCTTAACTTCAATCGCAGCACCATAATCTAATATGGCCAAGCAAAATTGTCCCACATTGTTAGCCATGAACTGAACTCGAGTCTCCAAACATTCCAGCTTCTCATAGTTGACGTAACCATTTATCTCTGTGGCATATGTGTATTTCAAAACTCTCAATTTTTTTTGAACAATTTTCAGTTTCTTAATAAATCGACGTATTGCAAGTTTTTTTTCGGGATAGAAGGACCAACCCCTTTCCAGACACATCAGTACGTCATTTAGAATTTTTCCAAGGCAATCCATATATTTCGACAGATCAAAATCATTCAATTCATAATTGTAGCTTAAACTGGTATTACCTTCAAAGAATTCCAACAAATGTGATTCTAGCCTTTCCAGGTTAAGGTTAGTTTTAGGAATCCCATCAAATACCCGGTGAAGCATTTGCACAGTCCATTTGGCATTCTTTGTGAGTTTGACTAAGGAATCAGACAAAAGAACATGATGATACTTTATAAAGTTTCTAAAAATTCTTAGCGCCATTTCAAGTTCCCTTATTTGATGAATACTGACTCTACTCAGATTGAGATTACCTCCACTGTTGATCCTTCTAATTAGGTGATCTAACATTTCCTCAATTTCATTTTCAGCCATTTTCTGTAGAAAAATTCCTGCAAGTTCACCAACTCTTGGAATTAGATTCATGTCTTTCAATATGTTAATGTTTGTGAAAAGTTATACATCTTATGTACCATTTTGTCTTGCATATTTGCTCTTTCCATATTTACCATTATACATCTAATTTACCCTTTTCATATTGTCCATTAATTAAGTAGTTTAGGTGGTAGCCGCAAAGTGGCACGATAAAACAACTACTCCCTCCGTCCCATTTTATGTGGCACTTTTCGGATTTCGAGATTCAAGCAAATCTAACTTTGACCGTAAATTTTTCATAGATTTTTTAAACATTTTGAATTATTAATTATTGTGACTTATAGTACTTTTTACGTAGTTTACAAATATATAAATTTTATTTCAAAAAAATTAAAGATTTCATGCGCATATTCCCGATCAAACTTAAACGGTTTGACTCTCGAAAAACGAAAATTGCCACATAAATTGGGACGGAGGGAGTATATTTCTTTTCTTTTCATTTAGGCAACGTTTGGTTGGAAACAAGTTATTTCGAGAATAATTATTACGGGATAAGCTATTTCATCATTTATATGGAATAATTTAAGGAAAAGCCACAATGAACCCCATCAACTATACACGAAATCTGAGCGACACACCTTAACTATAATGAGTCCCATTATCCCTGAATTATTTTAAAGTTTAATTGTAATAAACACACCCTTTAACCCAACCTAAAACCTATATAGCCACCACATGATGGGAGGTGTTTCACAGTTACCTCCAAGTCATCATTATGTAATGACCCTAAAGGTCATTTTTGGAAATTTTCATAAAATGACCGTTTTACCCCTCCCGATAGTTGCCCCGAGTCCTAATTGTTGTATTTTCGAACTTGGTTTGGAGGAAAATTGATGAAAAGTTGAGTTTTTGGAAAGTTGAGTTTTTAAGAGTTAAAGTTTGGTTAAAAGTGCTATTTCGAGTCATTTGGAGTTTCGAGACTCGAATCGGATTTTCGTCGAATCCAGCAGTTTTAGAATGTTGAAACGGGTCTATGAGAATTTACGGAGTCGAATTTGGAGTTAAAACGAAGATTTGAGGTCCTAAGTTGCTAAACTTGTGAAATTTTGATCAAGAGTTGACTTTGGTCAACAAATGAGGTTTCGGTACTCGAAATGGAATTCCGAGGGTACCATTGGATTCAGGGGGTGATTCTAAGTCTAGAATGAGTCTTGGTTGAATTTTTAGAGGCCCCGAGTGCGTTTCGAGTTTTTGAGCCTAAAGTTAGTTTCTTGACGCCTTATCGGATACCAGATCAAGGAGACCTCGAATTCAAATTCCGACGATTTCATTGAGTCCGAAATGTCATTTTCAAGCTAGTAGCATATTTGGTTTGTGTTCGGAAAGTGCCAAATGAGTTTTGGGTGAGCTTTTAAGCTTCTTGGATGCTTTGATACTATTTCAGCAAATTATGGCAACTAAAGGGTTCATTATTAGCTTTAAAGGTGGAAAAATTATTCCGAAGGTTCTGAAATTTTGAGCATGAATTATAGGACTTATCTGCAAATTTTGGTGCATTTTCGCTAACCCGAGATTGGAATTTTATCGCAAATAAGAAATAATTGTTTACCGAGTAGAAATGATATTTGACTGGGCAAACGAGCATGAAATTGAGCTCCGATTGAACGAGCAGGTCCGTATCATTATTTAAGACATTTACAAAAAAGAATCGGGTCATTTCACTATCGTATGAGGAAATTACGGCCTTTTTAGTGAAAGATTAACTGCTGTTTTTCTGGTGCATAACAGTCATGTACTGTTATAAAAATCTCAGATTGTGTTCATTTGGTATTTTGAGCATATCGGGAGTTCTAGAGATCGGAATGGAGTGATTCTTACGGGTTTCTTCTTGAATTAATATGAGGGTTAGTATTCAATCTTCAATTCGACATTTTCTCATAATTTCTTTATCTGGGTTTTTTTCCCTATCCGTAAATCTCTTGGGAAAAATTGGGGTTTTATCGATTTGGACTCCCTTTTTGATGAAAAAGGTATATTTACGATCCTTATGTTATGGGTAAACTGATTTTAACATAAAATTATTGATTCATCGATTATTTTCATCATATTAACCGCGTACAATTTGGACTTTCCCGGTAAAGTTAAAGTTTGATAAATTGAGAATTTCAAGGTTGATCTTAACTCCGTTTTTGATGAAATTTCATATTTGAACTTATCTAAGCATGGGTAAGATGTTTTTCAAGAAATATTTCATTTTCGAGTCGAGGTTTCGGATCCGAATATTTTAGGCTTCTTCAAGAACGTGGATTTTCCTTCAAATTGAGTTTGTGAATTGATTTCAACTCCGTTTTCAAATTGGTTTTCACCATTAGCTTCCAAATACTTTAAGGATCATTTTACATCAAAATTTCCAGATTTGGGTATCGTTTTTCGGTATGAGACTTTTGGACCGTTTTGCCCTTTTACCCTAAATTTCTTGATTTTGGTGTCATTGGACTCGAATTGTGATTGTGAATAATTGTTTGAATAGATTATCGTGATCCGGATTATACTCGAAAAGGAAAGGCTCAAGTCAAGTAACTTTTGGAGTTCGTTTTAAGGCAAGTGGCTTCCAAACTTTGTAAAACTCTTAGACTACGGATGACTACTTTCCTAATTGTGTTGGGGGAGTAATGGGGATTGAGGATGGGTTTTATTTGTTGATTGAAATTGTTGTAAATGAAAGATGGGGAATAAAACAAGCTAAATGTGTTATATGTGACTTGAATTTGTTGAATAAGTCATGTGATAACTGATATTGAGGGGATAGAAGAGCATGAGTAGGCTATGATAGATATAGACATTGATGTTGAGACAAATGATATGTAATACTATGATGTGGTCGTGATATGGTTGTGATTGAGACAGATGATGTGTAATACTATGATGTGATCGTGATATGATTGTGATTGATGACATATGCATATTCATTATTCATCCCATGTGTGAACTATCTATTGCATGAGTTCTGAGACACTGATATGAGGATGGATGGATATGAGACACAGTTGAGACTAGCTCCGGCTAGCGATTTGGATGCCGATGGGATCTGGTTCCGGCGGTGATACATGGTCCATGTGTGGCCCCCATGGGTTCTGATTTGAGTATTCAGCACGGACTGATTACGTCAACAGATGTGTATCGTAGGACAGACATGTATCACGACTACATGACATCATTATTGCATTTTGCATCGCATTTGCCTTATCTTTGTCTGTGATGTATGGATTGTATCGGTTTACCCTTCTTATGTGGAATTTGATCTACTTGCTCTTATTTGTTGATCTGAGGTTGATGAGGATATACTGTTGGTTCTGGCTGTTGAATATGATTTGTTTAGTATAGGTTGGTTGGTTTGCTGCTAGATTGAAGTTTCAGTGGTTCGGTTGGGATTGAAAGGAGTTGTTTGTAGCTGCTAGTTTTGCTTAGTTTAGAGTTACTTGCGAGTACCTGTGGTTTTCGGTACTCACCCTTGTTTCTACACAATTGTGTAGGTTGACAGCTCTCTCTCAGATTCGGCTTAGTAGTTTCTTTAGCAGATTGAGCTTCGGGACATACTCGAGAGGTAGCGGTTCATTCCAGACGTGCCCTTGAGTTATCCTTACTTTCAGTTTTGTTCTATTCGAGGACTATACTCTGAGACTTGTATATTTTTATTCGAATTCTGTATTTAGAGGTTTGTACATGTGACAACCAAATTTTGGGTAGTGTTCAGTCTTAATTAAAGTCTTCCGCTTATTTATTATCTTTTATTCTCGTATTTCTACTTCTCTATCGTTGTGGTTGGGTTAGGCTGACGTGTCCGGTGGAAAATGGACACGTGCCATCACATTCGGATTTGGGGTGTGACACATTATGTCAGTGTCACATCAATAAATTGTCAGATCTAAAAAAAGATATAAACATCTATGCCATTTGATTCCTTCTTTATTATCAACACTCACTCCATAACCACTAAACCCACTTATTTTGACCATTAAAACTCATAGCAATCATCATGAAAATTATAACCACCACCAAGTTTATCCCCTTCACTATCACCGGATTCCATATCTACTATCAATTTCATTTTTCTATCACAAAACATCAAAACACAGATCATATATTTTATCACCTACATTTAAATCCACCATAAAATATAACTCCGATCCTCAAACACCCAAAATCTCCATTCAAGAAACTACCTAAATTTTGAAATCTAATCCGAGAAGAATTCAAAATTAGGGTTATTTTTTTCTGATTGAATTGGGGTTAAGAAAGACCGATTGAAGTGAGAAGGGAAGAGAAGGAGGGCGGGTGTTATTGATGAAGAACAAAAGCAGATTGGAGTTGGGTTTGGGGTAGGGGTGGGATGTCATATTGTTGAAGAACTGAAGCAGAGGGCAGGAGTGGGGCGGGGCACGGGGCTGGGGGTAGGGATGGAGTAGGGTTATGGCATGAATAATTGAGAAGGGGAGGGTAATTAAGTTATTTATTTATTATAACTTTTTTTTAAAAGCTTTAATTTAATTATGTAGCCTAAATTAAATTTCTAATATGTAATTTTAAAGAGACCATCGATGTGGGAATTCAACATAATTAAGGAAAAGATCCTCTCCCATTCACATATATACTCTAGCAAGATATATAGATACAGTGGAAAAAAGAATTGTTGCAAGTATTAAAATAAATTATGAATCAAAAGAACTCACCTCAGCCCTAACTATGAAGGGAATCTGGCACAAGGAGCTGTCTATAGTGCAGAGAATGTATATATGAGCTCTGAATTATCGCATTATTAATGGTAGGTAAACAACAATTAGTGCTTTAATAAAGCAGTTTTATTAATTAATTGATAATATTGTTTTATTCCTCTTGATTGCTTTAGAGGAAAAAGACATCAACTTTGTCCTTGGCCAATGTCTTAATCATCATATCATATATCATATATTATGGGAAGCTCCAACCTTCAAAGTTGGATTATCATTTTACCCCTCCA